CGGCCTGCAGTTGGGGCGGGGCCTGCAGCTGGGGCGGGGCCTGCAGCTGGGGCGGGGCCTGCAGCTGGGGCGGGGCCTGCAGCTGGGGCGGGGCCTGCAGCTGGGGCGGGGCATGAGTCACTCCAGCCGTGTGAAGATCTCCGGCGCACTGGATGAGGGAAAGCTACAGTCTTTTGCTTGTCGGTTTGTGGGTTTAATTTTGAAGCATTTGGATGCACGTTTTGGAGACAGTGAGCTCCTGAAGTGCTTTCGTATTTTCGATCCTGCTACATATGTGAGCATGTCTGAGGATGAGCGGCGTGGCTATGGCCGTAAGGAGTTCGTGAAGTTGCTAGCACACTTTTGCCACTCGGCAAGCTCTACCCGCCTGTTTGCATTTGATGTCAGCGAATTTGACGATTTGCAGAAAGAGTTTTCAGTTATGAAGTCTAAGATGGCCTTGCAGTTGGAGCTGGGACGCACCTCCTGGGAGCGGGCCTGGGCTGGAATGCGTCAGTGGGTCCACTTGTTTCCACGCTTGATTCAGTTGGTGTATGTCGCTTGTGTCCTACCCACTCAAACAGCGTGTGTTGAGCGTGGCTTTAGTGTCCACCGCATTATCAAGACCAGGCTGCGCGTGTTGGGTTACTCGGTCCAACCGTGGATATGAAATGCAAGCCACTTGTGATTAAAGCTGCTGAGGAGTGTGTTGCAAAGAACCCGGATGGGCTCCTGCACCGTATTGCCAAGGTGGGCGACTGTGTTCTGCCTGATGAGAGTGATGATGAGGGCAGTGTGGGCAGTGAAATTGCTGAGGCCTATTATCCTTCTGATAACGAGGAGGTCGAGAGTGTGGCAAGTGATGAGGTGTACCCGTCTGAGGAGACGGACGATGACGATGTGGCAGGTGTGGTGGAGGCGATTGCTGCAGAGATTGATGAGGAGCGGCGCCTCCTTGGTTTTGCGTAAAATTCTTGCTGAAATATTTCTCCCAGGCCCTATGTTCCAAAATAAAATCAAACATCTGTTAGTTCAGCCGCCATAGCATATAACGATAGAATCCAGCTAATTTCTACCCCGAAGACTGCTTCAGACAGCTTCGGGGTACCCTAAAACACGGTCTGGCTGACAGGAAATTTTTCGGGGAGGGCACCGAAAGGTTTTTCAGAGGATTTCGGACACAGCCGAAATTTTGGGGTACCCTCGTGAAGAACCCTGCTAGTGACCAACCCAGCGCAACTGCCGCAGGTCGTGGCAGACTACTGGGCTGAGATCAGCCGAGCTCCTGACTTCATCAGCCCCAGTGCCCGACAGGAGGTACTTGCCCAGCTGTCTGCGGCCAACATCAGCCTCCCTGCAAACGCAGATGAACAGCTTGGCTCCAAAACCATCACAGCAGCGGAGCTACGGGTCGCACTGGTCAAGAGCCAGCCCGGCAAGGCACCTGGATGGGACGGCATCCCAGCCGACCTATACCGCAAATTCTGGTCCACCATTGGCAACACCATGGCGGGCCTCTTCACCGCCATAGGCGCAACGGGGCAGGTGCCGACCGGGTTCCTTGAGGGCATTATCACGGTGCTGTACAAGAAGGGCGACCCCAAGCAACCCGGTAACTACCGCCCTATCACGCTACTATGCGCCGACTACCGCCTGCTCGCCAAGGTACTGGCCAACCGCCTGGGGCCGGCCCTCGGGCGCATCATCACCCCCGAGCAGTCGGCCTTCCTCCCCAAACGGCTCATCGGGGCCAGTGTGATGTTCCTGCGCCACCTATCCCACCTCCTCCGCAAGCAGAACCGCCGGGGTCTCCTGGCGTTCCTGGACTTTGCGAAGGCATATGACACGGTAGACCGAGACTTCTTGCTAGCTGCAATGGAGGCGATGGGGGCGGGCCCGCAGCTGTGCAGCTGGGTTCGGCTACTACTCAGCAACACACAGGCACGAGCCATGGTCAATGGCTTCAAATCAAGACTCGTTGGGATGGAGGCAGGCGTGCGACAGGGTTGCCCCCTCGCGCCTCTGCTGTACCTCTTCATCGCCCAGGCCCTGCTCTGCTGGCTCCGGAGCCGAGATGTGGGGGTCAAACTACGGCCGAATGACCAGGACCGCGTCACAGCCTGCCAGTTCGCGGACGACACTGAAGTGGCGCTGGAGGACGAGGAGTCAGTACCGTCATTCCGAGAAGCCATGGAGACCTTCGCAAAGGCATCAGGCCAGCGCCTCAATGTGGAAAAGGTGGAGCTGTTGAGGGTGGATGCTGAGAACCAGCAACAACAGCAGCAGCCACAACCGGCGGGTAGGCAGCAGCTGCAGCAGCAGCCACTACACCAACAGCCGCAGCAGGAGACAATTGGGGGACTCAAAGTGGTCACCACCGCCACAGCCCTGAACTTGCCGGTAGACAACCGGCCCACACCCCCACAACCCGAATGGCCCAAGATGCTGGCAGGCGCCTACAAGCGGATGCAGCGGCTCGCCCGCTTCCCACTGTCAGCCTTCGGCAGGGCCACCGCCACGTCCGCCTACGGCCTGCAGACGGTCACCTGGCACATGGAACATGGCGGACCCCCTCCAGACAGCACTCTGGACCACATCGAGCGGCTGACGGCCCGCCTGGTCGACCGACAACAGGGCCCAGAAGACCCAGGCCAGCGTCTCACAGGTGTACCCGGCAGCCTTTTAGTAGGCCATCCGTCAGCCGGGGGTTTTGGCCTGCTGCCGCTCCGACAGCACATCCACGCTCGCCACGCAGTCTGGGCCGTGCGATGCATTGCACAGGCACTACCGGCGGCAGGTTGTGAAGGTAGGGGTGCGGGAGGGGAAGTAACTGGGGGAGCAGGCGGGGACGAGGAGGTGGCAGCGGCAACCAACAGTGAGGCCCGGGGCCTACACCCGTGGGTACGCACGCTGTCCGCCTACCTGGAGCTCACCCACCCTGCACTCCAGCCTTGGGTTCTGACAACCGCCAGGGCCACGGGACCATGGCTCGGCAGCAGCGACCTTCCGGCAGACATCAGCCGAATCGTGGGGGCATTGCCGCCTTTGGAGGACATTGGCAGAACCCCACTGGAACCCGGTGATTGGTGCTGGGCGGCGGCGCTATGGGGCAACCCACTGCTCCCCAATGCGACCAATGCTGCAAACACCGAGGTCCCCAGCCGTCGACCAGGCCTGGAAGCATACCATGCAGCACTGACACCATGCAGGAAACTACGCACGGTGGGGGATCTGGTACGGGTGTGGGAAGCGGTAAACACTAGCCAAGCCACCACCCTCCAGGGAGCAGCCTGGCATTCGTGGGCCCGTGAACACCTCGACCCAGCCACAGGCCCCGCCCAGCTGCAGGACAAGGATGCCGCCCTTGCAGCTCTTGGAGCCCTGCACAGCGACATCAGCCCGGCCTGGCTGGCGGCAGCACACGCGGTGGAGATCAGGCTGCGACAGCAACAACAAGTGGAGGAGGAGGGGCCCCAGCAGCAACCACCAACACCGGCAACGACACGGCCAGACTGCGCACAAGTGATGAACATGATCATCGGGCGCCTGGGGTGGCGCCTCCCTGGGGCGACGGACGCTGTGCCGCTCCGCCGCCTAACGGTCAGTCTAGCGACACAGCTACAGAACGGGCATGTGGACGAGCGGCGAATACGCCTGATGACCGACTTCGTGCATGAGGCCCTGAACACGCCCGAGGCCCAGGCCCAGCCTGACAATTCTGCCGAGCTTAGCCGCTTTCAGGCAACTCTGGCACGCTTGTGGCATGGGGTGCGCTGGGAGAATGAGAACAAGGAGACCATGTGGCGTCTCGCCGTGGATGGCGTGCCCCTACCTGGCAACACGCACCTAGCCCGGGTGCCCACTGAGCCATGCGGGTGTGGGACCTATGGGGGCGCCGCCGGCCGACCCTGCCCACCGCGTCTGCACCATTTCTGGGAATGTCCAGTCGCACGTGCCGTACGGGAACAGATCGACAGGCACCTGCCACACACTCAGACAACAGTAGGGGCCACCACCACCCGGCAGCAGCTCTGGCTTGCCCAAGCGCCACCCGGGTGTGAGCAGGGCCCTTGGGATGTGATCGCCCTAGCGGCGCTATCCGCCATGGAAGTCGGCAGGTGCTGCCTCCGAGCAGCAACCCGGCGACAGGGACGGATGGGGGCGACAGCAACGGCGGGACAGCAGCAGCAGCAGCGACAGCAACAGCGACAGATGATGGGGCAGCCCCAGCAGCAGAGATCCCGCCAGCGGGCCATCACAGATTTCTCCACCCCGGCGGGAGGTGCAATGCAGCAAGAATGACCCACCCTAAACGCCCCAGCGGATGATGGGCCAACGCAGGAAGCAGGGGCGGGAGGGGGCGAGGCGGTGGCAGCATCAGCAACAGCGGGCGCAACAGGAGCCTCGCCACTGGCCCGCGCACGCGCCCGGGCGGTGGCAGACTTCTGGGCGCGTCTGCGCTCGTTCGCGGCGCTGGAGACCCCCCGACACGGCTGGGACAGAGTCGGGCCGCAGCACCCCATCCTGGCGGTCGTGGAGGAACGGATGCGGTGCGCAGCACCGGTGGAAATCACGGCCTAAATAGCCGTGATAGAGTCGGGTCGAGGTCTTACTGGAAAGGGAGCAGGGAGAGTGAGGGAGGGGGTGAGAGAGCCAGGAGTAGGGTTAGGTGAGGGAGCGAGGAGAGCAGGGGGGACCTGGACAGGGCGAGGGCAGGGCGAGGGCAGGGCGAGGGGGCAGCGCCCTGAGCGTGGTCTAGCAGGGGGAGTTGAGGTTCCGGGCTGTGTGTGTTTTGTGTGCTCGTGTGGTTGCCCTCTCCCCGGGTAATGGGGCCCGTCGGGGTGAGGGGAATGGGTTCTGTGCTGTCTGGCATCAGAGTAGAGAAGACGTAGGTGGCTTGTGAGAGTGAAGAGGAGGTGGGAAAGCGGTGGAGGAGAGTGGTTTGGAGGTGGAGAACAGGTGTTGCTGGTTCCGGCCGGTCAGGGTAAGGAGGGGAGGGATATCGGTGTGGTAAGCGGGAGCAGGCAGTGTCTGTGAGCCGTGCCTTTTCCGGGCTTTGTAGGGGGGCGCCGTGCTGGCTTGTCATCCCCCCCGCGGCAATAGGTGTTTTTGCCGTGTCTTGCGCTGCGCTGCACCCGGGAACCCGCAACCCCCAGGAGACTGACGTGCGGACCAGTTTTGCCTCGTTTGTGAGTGGACCGGCGAGGTAGTGGTGGCCGCCCTCGGGAAGTGTTCGTTGTTCGTTGCTCGTGGTAGTTGAACAGCTGGCCTTCAAGGACCAGTGTGCGAGTACTCGCTTTGTGTTGGTCTTCTCTGTGCAACCGTATCTCGGCTTTTGTGGTGTGTCGTCTCAGGCCCGTGGTCCTCCGTGTATCTCTTGCCTTGCTGGCTGCGTGGGGCCCTGGTTTTTGAGTGTGTATAGGAGCCCCCTGAGTAGAGCCCCTGCCCCCGGTGGTGTTTTCTAATTGTTCTTGTTTTGGTGGTCAAGAGGGACGAGAGCGCGCGAATAGGCAGGCCAGGCAAAGTGGCGCCTTTAGTGCGGCTCTCGCATAGTTCGGTTCGCAGTCCTCTGCACCGCTGTGTTGCCTAGCCAGGGGCTGGGAGAGCGTCCCGGTTGGCGTGAGTGAGGGAATGAGGCGCGCGCGGAGGAACAGACGGACGTAAGGCCGCGCGCCCTTCCCTGCGCTGTGTTTCGGCCCGGTCAGGGCCCCCGGTACTCGTCCTTTATCGGGCGAGCCGCCCACAGTGTAACACCCCATCAACAACATCAGCAGCAGCAGCATAATAATAATAATAATAATAATAATAATAACAATAATAATAATAGTAGTAATAATAATAATAGTAATAATAATAGTAATAATAGTAATAATATAAGATATGCGGAGAGTAACGCATATACGGATCTTACAAATATACAGGGAGTAACGCAACTCAAAGGTGCAACACACACACACATATTACATACACAGAGTCGTCCGAGATGTACGCCCGATGGCGGGTGGTGCTGAGGAGTTTCTTGAAGCCGGGTTGGTTTTTATGAATCTCCATTACACTACATGATGATGCTTTACCAGTAGTATTATTATACAAGAACGGCCTCGGGAGGCAGTAATAGTAATCCGGGCGGCAGTAGTAACGCAGCGAATGGATAGGTAGGCGGGGGCCGCGGCGGCTGTATTTATATATATACATATACCATACGTTGATGATAACGAGAAAATTATACTGCGGATATCGGCTTCCAACCGCTTCACCGCTGGGTCCCCCCCTCCCCCTCCCCCGCCCGCCGGGGTTCAGCAAGGCCGCCTCAGGCAGTGAACGTTACCACCCCACCATCGGCAAATTTCTGAGACCCATACACGCGACCTCGCTAATGGCACACATACACAAGTACACCAAGAGCACCCCACTCAACCAACCGCGCACCCAACTACCCAGCTAACTAAAAAACCGCCAAACTGCTAACTGCTGATTGCTATTCACCCACCCAATCACCGGTGTATCCCCCCACCTCCTGCACCAGCGCCAGTGCCTTCACCACCTCCGCCGCCGCGGGCCGCCTCGCCGGGTCGGGGTCCCAGCAGGAGAGCACCAGCGCACGCAGCTTAGGCGGGCAGCGCTCCTCAGGCAGGTTGTGCAGCGGCAGACGCTCCTCATTCACCGCGACGGCAAAAGCAATCTGCACTTATCGTACAACAGGCCGGTACGGCACGGTACACGATCAGTGCAGTACATACCTCGCTATGTGCATGCGCCCGTGGCGATGGAAGGTAAGGAGGCGATGCATTGAGATGCGTTTGAAGTCACGAAGCAGGTTGAGATATCCTGAGCTGCATATCCATCTTACGTGATGACCAAGGTGCGCACACAGATGTGCCAGCAGACGTGGAGACATATCCACAAACGCATGTATGCATACACACATACAGACACACATAGATATACATACATACATACACCAGCGCTAGGCACCTGCACGGTCGTCTGTCCGATCCAAGGCCGTTTGCCCGTCAGCATCTCCCAGAGGACCACTCCCAGCGCGTACACGTCCTAAGAGGGCGGCGCGTTGAGGGCGGCGCGTTGAGGGCGGCGCGTTGAGGGCGGCGCGTTGAGGGCGGCGCGTTCAATCCTTTGCAGTTAATAATAAACATAAGCTAGGTCGTCTGTCTAGTCAGTCGGTATGTATGTATGTCGCTCTGAGGGCAGGTAAGAAGCTAATGAGGTTATATGGGGCGATACTCTTTTCGGTACGGTCGCTGTTCCCGGGTCCTTTTTGAAGGTCGGCGAAATGGGTAAAAATGTATAAATATAAATGCATGCGTGTGTACGGCAGTAGTGCGTACGAGTGGAGATGAAACGCTAGATGAAGCTCCCTGCTGTCCACGTGTCTGTATCTCTGTATGTCATCGCCAGGTCCGGATGCTGTTGGAGCTGGTACATCGCACGGCACACATAACGTCTACAAATACGCGCTAGGTGTCGTAACCTGGAGGGCACATCACCACGGCGGGACCTGCATCCTCCGATCTGTGCTTCTCTGAAGTCCTGATATAAGGTTGACTAGGGCGCTCCGCCAGCAGCATCTTGAGAGGCCTTTTCAGCGGCGGCCAGCAGCTGCTGCCTAGCTACTGGCTACTACTGGCTAGCTAGGCGGCTAGCTGCGGTGCGGTTGCCGTTGCGGTTGTGCTCTTACCGCTCGGTCGGTGACGGTGGTGTTGGTTACATCGAACACCTCCGGGGCGATGTAGGGGCCCTGATTGCGAGTGTGGGGCGGGGGTTGTGTGGGGCGGGAGGCCGTTCTCTTCTGTTCTGTTCGGTGAGGCAAAGCCGAAAAAGAAAAGAGAGAGAGAGAGAGGGACAGAGAGAAGAAACGAAGGAAACAGAGGGAGGGGGAGAAACTACAGTACGAATTAAAAGAGAGAGAGAGAGAGAGAGAGAGAGGTATGTGAGTAGCAAAACAATTGACCGAGCCGTCTCTCTGTCTGTCTGTATGTGTGCGTTGCGGGAAAAGCTTATGTTCATCGTGTCTTAAAGGTCAGACAGAGCTGAGCCCTGGGGGGATGCATGATGAGGAATTCCGCACCCAACGTACATACATACATACAGGTGTGGTTCATTTCTAGTGCGTACGAATTTTCCAGACGGGTCATGCACGCCACACATTACCACCATATTTTCATCAATGTCTGTATGTTCATCTAATAACCTTCCAGGAACTCATCATCACATGTAGGATGAACAGGGAAAGGGAGGGCTCGGTTCACATGCACAACGGTGTTTGCCCTTGCGTCCCTCCGCCCTCCTCCCCAACATCACCTTGTCATCCAGCCTTTAGCCCCACCTAGCCCCGTCACCCACTACTACTACTGCTACTGCTACTACTACTGCTACTGTCACTACTGCTACTGCTACTGCTACTACTACTACTACTACTACTACTATTACTGCTACTACTACTGCAACTCACCGTTCCAACCTCCGGATTCCGAGTCACCAGTACGCTCTGAAGGAGTCGGGACAAACCAAAGTCCTGCGCGCCAATGTGGCGATGGATCCATCACGAGCGGCCAGAGTAACTTAGTTGCTGGCATGGTGAGTTAGTTGCTGGCATGGTGACTTAGTTGCTGGCATTTTGGGTGTGAGGAAAAGGGGGGTAGGGTGGGTGGGTATGTGGGTATGTACGTATTTATGTATATGTGCGTGTGAGAGAGACAGACAGACTAGTGGTGCCCCGCCGCGAGCCCCCCCGCGCCCCGGGGGGGGGGGAGGCGCATGGACTCCCACCGTGGGTCCCCACACGCACCCGGCATTAATGACGCCGCAACCTTAGCCTTCAAGAACTCCCGCCCTCTGACCGCTACTGGGGTTTATATTGCTACTTCTTATCCACGATGGCTCGAACACCATCCACCAGACAAATATACACACATACATGCATACATACATACATACATACACACCAGAGGTATCACCCACACGTACGCACAGACATACATTATATACAGTATATACGTACATACACACTACATCCCAAGCCCTGCTCCCACTTTCCGCTTCTCGTCCCCCTCCGCCGTACCGCCAGTTTGGCAACAGGTTTGTCACTGTCGGGTTTCGAGATGAGGACGTTGGCTGGTTTGAGGTCTGTTGTCGTACGCGTGTGCCGTACGTGGGAGGAGGGGGGAAGACCCCAGGGCACAGCAGGCAGTAACGGGCAACATCAAAAAGGGGGGATGAGGGGGGCCAGTGAAGGGGGGCGGGATCGTATACACAAATTCGTTGCTTCTGTACTTATCTTCTGTTTTGATCTTATTGTGGTTGTGCGGTCCTCTAATCCCAGTGCCCTTTTGGCAGTTGGCAGTTGGCCGCCCTCGTGTATCCATCACGGCAGATCCAAACCCACCCAGAGTCCCCCTACACGGACACGCACACGCGCCGTCACACACACGCGCCCTCACACACACACACACACACATACACAGTGGCCCCTCACCCCCCTCCCCTTCCCCCGAAGGCCGGTCTTGTTCGTCGGGGCAGCTGGGCAGCAGCCCTTGGCCAGCCCACCAGGCCCGGAAAGACATGTAACAACTACACTTACACACACACAAGCACACACACAGCCCAGATGTGTGTGTGTGTGTGTTTTATACACCTCGGTTGCGTTACCCAGGTAGAGAGGTGAACCGAGTGCACCCATACGAGCCAGAGGTAGGGGCCCAAGAGCTTAAGAGCCCCCGTAGCGCCACAAGTTAGGTTAGGTTAGGGACATTTGCAGTACAACGCAAGAGTTCTATTACCCAGGCTATGCAGTGTCGGGAACACGAAAGAGGCAAGGCCCCTAGTCAACCATGACCGCCTGCGTAGAGATGGGCGTGAATATGCCAAATATATATGTATATAATGCCCGTGCAGCCATAAGCTGCCGCCTAAACTCGGAGAAGACCGGGCCCTCCGGAATCGGCCTGCTAGCAAGCCAATCGACCTTATCGTCATCATCTCCGGCACTAACGAAGGTGGCATGCCCCCCCCAAATATCGTACTTCATAGCGCTGCTAGGAAGCTAGGAACCGGATTATTATATTAGCCGCCCAACCGTTATCAAACTCGGCAAATAGCAATTTCTTGACACGTATACACACAGTTCGTACACTCACCTCGGTGCAGTATGGTTGGGTGCAGGTACGACAACGCCCGGGCGATCTGAATTCCGATGTGAAGCACCTGCATGTCGTACAGTACGGCATACGGAGAGTGAGCAGCAGCCGTACACACGAGCTACGAAGACCAGGCGAACCGTTGTACTGCACAATACACTCCCCGGGGGGGAGATTAACCGCTCCCATTCAAATGCATCTGCTCTGAGTACGGCATACCCTCCCTTCCTCCCGGTCCCCGATGTGGACCGCCCTCGTCCCTAAATTCCTAAACTCCATATACAACCCCCTCCTTCCGTACATTACCGTACCGTTCCCAAGGGCAGCCATCGCGACCCAACCCCGTGAAGCAATCTGTCCAAGGAGGTGTCCATCAGCTCCATAACCAAACACACGCGCGGGGGCCTGAAACGTAAAACGTAAACGGAAAGGGGTAAAACGGTAAGCATACGTACATACATAAATACATACACAATAACATTGGGGGGAGTGGGGTAGGGATGGTGGAGAAACCGCAGTAGAAGTGGGGGCAATGGGGGAAATGTGATTGGAAAAGAGAAAAAACGATGCATCAGGTACAACCATGCAGCAGGCAGGCGAGAGGGGGGGTATGGAGAACGGCAGGGGGAACCGGCACGGGGTGGGGTTTGCATGACCTGGCGGGGGAGGTACATTGCAGGAGGGGTTGAAATTTGGGGAAGAGGGTAAACGTGCCGGTGGTGTGTTTCGTGCTGGTCGTCATGCTGCTGGTCGGTTGCTGTCCCCGGGGTTGGGTCCCGGGGTCCTGCAGGCCGCACCCCGACAGGAGAGGAGCAGCAGCTCTTCAATCAGCAAGCAAGCCAAAGAACCCGCAAGACGGGAAAGACAGACAAACTGAAAGACAGCAGACGGACAGACAGACAGATGGATAGATAGATGAACAGACAGATGAACAGACAAACAGTCGAACCCACAGACAGCCGAACAGACAGACATACAGACAGACGAATAGACAGAGGGCGAACGGACAGACATATAGATACGTGCAAGAGCTTACACGAGACTGGCCCCCATGAGTTTCACAATGTTGGGGTGTTGACACCTCGCAAGCACCTCCACCTCCTGAGCGAGAGCATCAAGAGCCTGTGCGCCGACAGACCAGCAACCTCCGCCGCCGCCGCCGCCGCCGCCGCCGCCGCCGCCATCTCCGCCACCGCCGCCGCCGATTAAAGCAGCTGGTCGTAACGCCCCGCCTCGTGGGTTAACCCCACTCATCCCACCACCTCCGCGGCGGCCGCCTTCGCCTCCGCCACCAGCAGCGTCCCCGCCACCGCCACCGCTACCGCCATTCCGGCAATCACCACCGCCGCCACCATCGGCGCCGCCGTTAATCGCCGTACCGTCCCCGCCGCGGCCTCTGGCGGACGCGTCGTTCACCGGATTACACGTTGGCGGCGGCGGCGCCGCCGCCGCCGCTACCTGCGCTGGCGGCGGCGGGCTTCCTGCCACCGATACCGCCACCGATACCGCCGCCGCCTTACGCATGTCAACGTTGGTCAAAAGCCCGGCGTTGAGAAGTTTTACTGCCACTCGTACACCGCCGTACACTCCCTCCACCACTCGCCCAAAAGAGCCTTTCCCCAGCGTTACCGGCAGCAGCTGCAGCTGCTCGCCCAGTCGTGAGTCGTCCAGGCTCACCCCGGGGCGCACGGGAGTCCTGGAAGTGACCGGGTTCAGCTCCAAGTCCCCACACACGGGGATACCGCTTACAGCCGGGTCCGCTTGCCGTTGTTGCCGTTGCCGTTGCCGTTGTTGCTGTTGTTGCCGTTGCCGTTGTTGTTCTTCGTGCTGTTGGTGATACGGAGGGTGGGGGGGATGGCAAGGAGGAGAAGGGGAAGTCGGCGTCGGAGGCCGCTCGATGCCTATGCTGCCACTGCTGCGGCTTCTCCCCCCCCTGCCGCTGCTGCTACTGCTGTCGACATGGTCACCACTGTGACGCCGCTGCTGCCACCGCCGCCGCCGCTGCCGCCGCTGATGATGATGATGATGGTGGTGATGATCTTGCCGCTGCTGTCCACCGTGTAAGTGGGAAGCATCAGCAGGGGGGGAGTGTGACCAGCGTCTACGCAACTCCTTGGGCCCCCGGGGCTCCGGCGCCGCAGCACCCGCAGCAGGATCGTCCGGCTGGTCGCGGCTAACGCCCTCCGATCGGCCCGGCCCGGGCCCCGCCGCCGGGGGCGGATCGGTGGCGGCGAGCGAGACTTCAACAGCCACAACACCAGAGGTCTCCGCCACGCCGCCGCCGCCGCCGCTGCCGCTCCCACCGCTGTCGCCAGCTATCTCCGCGGGCGCCGCCGCCGCAGCCGTGGCGCCATGGACGGTGGTGGTGACGCTGGCGGCGGCGGCGGCAACAGCTGGCGGCGCATGGAAGTACGTGTCGTCATCGCTGGGACGTTCCTGCTGCGCCATGGCCGCCGCCGCCGGTTGTGTTGGTGTTGGTAGTGTGGGTGGTTGCCGTACTGACGAATGCGGCGGCGGTGGTGATGGCGGCTGAGGTCTTCATTGGCCAGCGACGTGTGCCAGCAACGGCGTGTTGGGGCAGCAACGTACGGCGGATTCAACCAGCAGGATAACGCCGCTGTTAGATGAATACATACATACATACATACATACATACAATAAATCAATAACACCCCCCCTTGTGTGCACGCGTGGCGCACGGGTTTGAACCGCCCCCCGGCGCCCTACACACGGACCCCCCCTCCGGCCCCCCTACCCTCCGAGGCCGCTCCCACTGCCTTGCGTGGTGCTGGTGTTGGTGTTGGTGGCGGCGGTGGCGGTGGTGTCGTCGTCGCTGCTGCCCGGTAGTGGCGGTGCGTCCCTGCCGCCAAAGCTGCTCTTGCCGCCGCCACCCGGCATGGGTAGGCTGTCAGTGGGCGGCTCCGGAACCTTCTCCTGCTGCTGCCGGCTGCTGCTGCACCAGCGGCGCCTCAAAGCGAATCGCGTCCCTAGCCCAATCAGCACCGCCGCTAGAAGACCTGCGCTTTCGGGCGGTAGACAGGAGGGGGGAAGGAGGAGGGAAGGAGGACGGTCGAGAAGAAGGGCAATTGAGAGCAGGCGAATGAAAAAAAACAGAAATGGCCGATGATGGGTAGGGTAAATCAACGGGGGCTCTTAAGGCCATTCGACACCTAATCCACAACATAAACGACGGCGATACGCATGTGATGTCTAGGAGCTTAACTGTTCATGTTCGTGCCCAATTGTACGGCATGGCATGTATAACCGCACGCCAACCTGTCGAGTACGGAAGTGGCATTAGGGGAATGCAACCACATCTCCTCTCACCCCTCCCCCGTTCCTGACCTTCATCCCAAACGCCGCCAACCGCCAACCGCCAGGCCCATCACACCACCACCGTCCTCACGTTCCCGACCCGCTCCCTCACTACCTCGGGCATCTGGGCCTTAGGGTTTTTCCTCTTTTCTCGCATATTTTAGTAGCTGCCGTACAGTACGACAGGGGCACACGCACACCGTCAATAAACGCATTCGCTAGCTAAAGCGAAATACGGACTCCCGTCCAGGAGCACCGTGCTGCCAGAAGGGGGGGGGAGAGACAGCCGCTACCCCACGTGTACCTACCTCCCGTAAGGCCCACGAGCAGCGGCAGTAGCAGCTTTGGCCGCCGGCTCCCGCTGCTGGGCTGGCCCTTTTCCCCTCCCCCTCCGCCTCCGTCGGGCAATCCTGCTGCTGGTGCTGCTGCTGTCGGTGGAGGGCGTGCGCCCGCTTGCGGCGTGGGCCCGGCTCCCACCCTCGGAAACATGTTGTAGTAGCAGCCCACTGCGCCATAGCTTTGGACGCATGAGTCGCTCATCACGGCGGCGCACTACGTACATACATACATGCATACATGAACATTCACATCTACATAAGCATATACATACGGATAGACGTACAAATGTGTGTACATACATATACATACATACATACATACATACATACATACATACATACATACATACATACATACATACATACATACATATATATACGTATGTACACACATATACTAGGGTTTACTAGGTAGGGTGGAAGGTACTTGTGTACAAAAGTGCGTGATATGATCAATCAATTGCAAAACCCTAAGATTGTAAGTAGTGTGTTTTTGTTGAGGCCAAGCGACCATTAATGGCAATGTGTGTATGTAACATATACATATATATATACATATACATATATGTGTGCGTGTTGAGTTGTTTTATTGCGCGTGTGAGTGGGCTGCGGGAATCGCGGGCGGGTGTATACCTGGACAGTTTTGCAGGTGGGTGTAAACCCGCCACCGCAATTTCCCCCCCCCCGCCCACCCCTGGGGCCCCCACACGCCCGGGAGCCTCTCCGTCCCCATCCATCTACTACACACCTCCTCCCTCTCCCCCCAACCAACCAACCCCATTCCCACCGATTCACCCCAGCTCGGCTGCCCCACCTTGATTTGCACCAGGTGGAGGTAGACGGTGTAGCCGGATGGTACGGTTTTGCCGAACGCGTCAAGTTGCATGGCGTTAAACCCGACATCGACGTACACGCCCATGCCCGGCCAGCAGCGTGTTGCCGGAGCTGCGGCGCTGCGGTTGTCGCACCGGACGCTGCCAACCGGGATCTGGGTGGCGTTTTGGGCACCCGGCGGCAGGTTGACGGGCCGACGCAGGGAGACGACGGAGTCCAGATAGATCCCCAAGGGCAGACACGCGCCTGCGCACAGGCATGAGGTGTGTGTGTATGTATGTGTAATAATAATACAGCATGCAGTAGCCGGTACACTGTACGGCGGTGTACGGCACCGTGAACAACTACCAATACGCGCTAAGCGCTCCACCAGCATCTCGAGAGGCCTTTTCAGCAGCGGCCTGCTACTACACCTCCCCTCCCCTTCTTTCCCCCTACACACTCTCTCTCCCTAGACAGAGCGCCTGCATTCACGCACCGAACCTGCTGGACTCACGATGTATCAAGATCATGTTCCAGCCAACAACCAAACGGTATGTGGGCGCTGTAGCGTACACGTCGGGGTTGACGTTGCTATTGCGACTACCGTAACTGCTGCCATTACTGCTACTGCTAGCACCGCCGCCGCCACTGCTGTTGGTGCTGTCGGAGATGGCAACCGCGTCCAGGCCAGGCGCCTGCACGAGCATATATAACAGCGTACGACACGTGACCGGTTACACGGGACAGCAATTGCAAATGTATCAAGTTATGTGATTTTGTGGCGGTAACGTTGCGGCTTGGCTCAGTTCCTGGGGCTCCAATCCAAAATGACGGTTGAGTCATGGTAGATTTGTACGGCAGTATACGTGATGATCGTAAATTCCTGAGCGGCGCAAGCAAGCCATCAGATATCCCGAGCTAACCAGTGTGGGATCCAGATCCAGATCCAGATCCATTGGACGAGGAATTCAAAATAAACCCACGATCGTACGGTGGGTTTCCATGCTTGATGTCGTGATTGTACGGCGTCGGTAAAGTTGTTTGCTGTCTAAAGACAGGGTCATCGTAAAATAAATAGAGATAGGACCGAGAAATAGATTGCATATAGATTCATGGTACAGATTGGTCAATAGTTCGTGCCATGATACTGTAGACAGATAAGCCATGTGAAAACATAATTTAATGGTCTAAGACACACTCACTCCTCCATATTACAGACAGGCGCCCTATATCTACCTACCTACCTACCTACCTACCTACCTCATCCTCTCACTTCCTCCTTCCCTTTGCAAGAATGCCGCCGCCGTGCGGCCCACCTAGCCACCCACCTGGAAGTGCGGGGTGTTGCGCCAGTTCTTGAGCACAAGGCGGGAGATGTTGAGACCCGCACCCTGAGCAAGCCGAATCTGGTGCAGGTGACGGGTTTTGGTAAGCAAAGCAGCAGGTGTGTAGGTAGATGGGTAGGTAGATGGGTAGGTAGGTGGGTAGGTGGGATGGGTAGGTGGATAGTTGAGTGGATAGGTAGATAGTTAGGTAGGTAGGTATGGAAGGGGTGATGTGTAACAGGAAATGATGGCAGTACCCCAGATCGTACAGTCCGTTGTACTTGTACGGCTAGTGACCGACTTGCTTTGTGGTCCCCTTTCGTGGTATCGTTTCCTAAGTGCCTCCCTTCAAACTTCGTGCCGAATTACTCGCTTCCCCTTACCATTGAGTTTGAGTTGACGAAGTCGAGCAGCGGCCATCGTTCGGGTGCATCGTGCATCCCCAATAAGGTCACGTTGCGGTTCAAGGTAACCGGAGCCTCATATGCTGCCCAATCCTCTGAAGATATGGAAATGTCGTTTGCAACGATAGCGATCTGCACGGCTGCGTCCGCGAGGGCGCCGACTAATTCCGAACCAGTCAAGCAGGTTTTCGACGCCAAGGGTGCAGTTTGCAGCATCCGATGCTCCGTACGTTGCGCATATGCAAGAGTAGCTGCTGTGAACAGCAGCCACCCTGTAAGTCCCGACACGAGAGACTGCATGGCCCTACATTGGACGTATCCCTTCGTAACCACCCAGCAGATCCGTTTAGGCTTATCCATTCATGCAAGGCGCATATTGCGCCGTCAAATATTGTCTAGTTGTCCACAACGCCTTGGCCAGAAAGCTGTCAGGCTACCAAACAGGTAACGCCAGGAGAGGCCGCTGTCACTGATAGTCTATTGTTGGGGATGTGTAGTAGTAGGACTTTGTAAAACAGTTATGTAAAAGCGTTGCTCACAAGGTACAATAATTTGACTATAGTTGGGACGAGGTGTAGAAATGTGAAAAAAAGTTCTGCAAATTCACGAGGCAATCAAATACGCTGAGAAGCGTTGCTTTGTAACTGGCTCAGCGTAGGACGGGTACGCATATCATGTTCAGGGATTCAATATCGCGTCCATAAAAGGCAAGGTATGCTGCTCAATGTGACGGTCGAAGTCTTTTAATGACCTCAATATAGTTATAACTTGTGAACGGAATAAGTAGATACTACACAAAACGCCATTTCCTAGTTCAATCCTCTTAGCGGAATGGACAGAGTAGCAAAAGACATAAGTATAATATAGGGAAATTTTTTTCTGATCTGAATTGCAATAAGACGATGTATTACCGAGCTGTCTACGTCCCAGTCTACACCCCCGCTAAATGTCCTCAATCTCCGTTACGACGCATTGGAGATTAGTGCAATTGTGAAAGTTTACGAACCAATATGAAAAGGAACTGGACGGCGCCTAAACAACCGGGAAGCGTAAACTGACTTTTTACGGAGAAACCAAGCGTAAGCCAAGAGAATCGGGATCTTCAAACTCAACTTACACTTACATCAATCAATAATTTGGTCGACTTATAATAGTCAAGCTAGCGATTATCAATATCACACATCGTACATCTAGGCCCTAGCTCCGCTAGCTCCGAAGTTACGATAATACCTAACGAGTCCCGGAAGTTCGTCAACTAACTTTAAACATGGCATACCCTTCCTCCTTTATTTTAAACAAGCACCGTCCTCGGTGCGAAAGTAACACACTAAGCGGCCAAAGTCGTGGCGCACGAATTCTAACTCGTCCGGACTATGTAACCGGGATACATCCAGACACCCAATCGTATGACTAAATACCCTCAGTATCAAAACTCAGAAATCGAACAATTATACGCCATCTGCACATTTAGCAAAACCTCAACCCGAAGGCAAACTGAAAGCTATCACGCCACACACAGCACCAAAACGGACGCTAACCCCGACGTGCTTAAATCACAGACGTACCGAACACAAGCAAAACACACGATGTGACACACACACACACACACACACAAACACGCATGCAGCCCTATCCCGCCAGAAACTGCACTATCCGCGGCGCACGCTCCGGAAACTTGGCACTAAACCAAGCGTAGCGGTCTGATAGCTTGAACGAGGTCCAGTCTGGGCTCCTCAGGAAGGCACGAAGCCTTGGCAGACTGCAAACGTCATCGTAAGGTTCCCATGGCGGGTCACGACCACTACAGCCGCGGACCACTGCACAAGGAACAAGAGGGACGGACGTCCGCGCTTGCTGCACCCTAGGCGGACAGCTGTGACGTCGATACCTGCGCTGTCATACGGCAATTCCATCGCAGCTGGCGGTGCGGGTGGAGGTGGTGGGCGGTCTGGGAAGAGCACTGGGTTGTACTGTCATTCCAGGGAAGAAGGCGGCTGATGTGGAAAAAGACTGGGTGGAGGCGGCCAAGGGAGGGGGGGCTGGAAGGTTAACGCAGTATGCGACGGGTGAGATGACCGTGGAGATGAGGAAGAGACCGGGGTAGCGGGGGCGGAGCTAGGCGGAGGGGTGGGTTGGGAGGGTGAGGCGGACGCGGGAGCGGTTGCCCTCTCCGAAGACCGATGTTCCCACAGCCAACAACACGACGATAGCTGTAGCCACCGGGGTCGCAGTCGCTCCCCCTCCCGCCGCCGTGACAGTCCCCACGGGCGCCGCTACAACAACAGGTACCGCAGCGACGTACCAGACGCCAAGGGCGCCAACCGCAGCCCATCCCCAGTCCAGCGCAGAACCGGGGCCTCTAGGCCGTGGTCTGCAGATACGGTCAGCCACAGCCTGCCGACGTCGCCCGCTGCGCATACGAACGATACGAACGACATTTTCAGCGTTCTCCATGTCTTGTGAAAATCGTCTGTAAGCCTGCCCGTCGTCCTGGCCGCAAGCGTGCTCGCGCAGCTGCAGCCTCGACAGCGAAGGGAGCATGCCATGCAAACAAACAACAATTGGAAACTCGCACGTACGATCTTCATTGAATACGATTCGCAGTACGGCCCCTTCACCGTGGACGGCTACTGCAGGACCACAGCCTGACTGCTGAGCTGTGATGTTGACGGAGGAGTTGTCGATACCATCAGCACCACCCATAAACAATCTCCTTCGATGTTGGTTGACAGGAAGTAAAGGTGAGCTGGGACACCTCCGTCAACATCACAGCTCGTTGGTCGGCTCCAGAGATGGGTGACATGGAGGGCGGCAGCTGGTGTGTCCTCATGAAAGGAGCGGCGGGGCTGCGAGGCGGTAGGTTCGGTCAGAAGACGGCGGAGATCCGTGACTCATCCCCGCACTGGAAGCAGACATGGCGCGCCATTCACTGTAGGCGCAATACGCTGTGCGGGACACCTTTATCGCTTAGAAGCCGCTCGGAAGTGGCGATTTTGGGCGCTGCATGCAGCGGTGGTGTTGGCGGCTGCAGCAGCTGTCATGTTGATACGGTCGTCCTGATGGCGGACATCCCTACGTGTGCTACGTGAGGAGGTGGTTGAGAAAGTGTGTGGTGTGACGCCGGCGAAGATGTCCATGGCTAGGTCGATGACCGCTTGCAGACCGACGTTCATCCCGTGCTGGTGCAGGTGGGTGTAGACCTCCTCACGCAGGTCCGCTCGTAGACCCTTTGCGAAGAAGAAAACGTGGTCGGATTCATGCCGGTAGGGCAGGTCGCGCATGAGCCGACGGAAGGCGGCCACGTATGCATTCAGAGAGCTGGGCCCCGAGCCTTGGCGAATGGTGTCCATGCCTAGCTGTGCCTGAAAAGTTCTGTCGAACCTGGGTGCAAAGGGTGCCAATGCTTGGAGGACAGCTGTAAAAGAAGGAAAGGGTGCCCGCTGGTGGCGCAGGAGCAAAGTGTCGAGTGTCCAGCCGTCAATTGAGGAGAGGGCGATTACGGCGGCAAACTCACTGTCTTCTTGCACTCCGCACATTGCAAAATGCAGCCGGAGTCGGTTGGCCCACGCGTCGAGGTCGGCGTTCTTGGCGGTGGGATTGAACCGGGGAGCCTGCACTGGGTGGTTGGCGTGCGCTGTTAGGGCCCCTGTTTTCTGCAACGCTCGAATGGCAGCAGTGGCTGCTATTTCGACGACACGATCCCAGGGAGCTTCGGCCGCGGAGGTGGAGGAAGGTCCAGCGGCTGAGAGGCCGGACGCGGGGACGGGGGCAGGGGAGTTCAGAGACGGATGCGTGGACAGCTGCTGACTGCAAGCAGTGTGGAGAACCTGCTGTTGGGGCTGCAGCTGCGATACGTCGGTAAGCGTCGTATGGAGGTTATGGGCTCCAGAGAGTGTTTGCTCGATCTTGGTGGGGATGGAATCCATGGTAGTGGACGACGACGACCGTGACGATGAATGACGATGTCGATGATGACGTATGTCGGCGATGACGATGTTCGATGATGACGACGAAGACGATGTCAATGGATGATGAGAAAGGAGAGGTAGGTCGCCGAGGCTCTGATACCAACTGAAAAGGAACCGGACCGCGCCTAAACAATTCGGGAAGCGTGAGCTGACTTTGCTTGCCAAGAAACTGGCATATACAGAGAGTATCGGGATTTCAACTTCAACTTAGGCTTACAAATTTACAAATTATGGTCCGATCTTATAGTCAAGCTAGTCGAGCTCCGCTAGCTCCGAAGTTACGACAAGACCTAGCACGAGTCCTGAAAGGTAGTCAACTATCTTCCAAACATTACACGATGGCTAAGTTGCGACATCACCGTCTTAAGGCTACATCTTGGATTTCACTATCCACGGATTTGCTCTATGACATACATTGACAAACCTACGTAACAATACAATGTATGGAACACCGCTGAACATTAAGCACAGCCAAACCAAGGGGATCGACAAAGAGTCACAAATAGAACCACACCCAGCGCGATAGACGAAGAAAGATAGCACTTGAGCAAACCGCACAATGCGCGCCAGGCGACATTTAAATGTGTCGTTGTCCTCTAAATTTTATCCTTTTTATGTCAGGTATTTCTTTTACAACTGCTCTTCTGTTCCCTTCTTTCCCTAGCTCTACGAGGTGGAGCTTGTAACAGTACAAGTATAGTCAAGAAAAGTCTGGTTAGGGTAAAGAGCAGACATGCATTTGTACCTTGATGGATCATAGTGTAAACCTAGCTGTGAAATGGAGAACCATTGGGAGCGATGCTGCACGAGCAGAGTGACGTACAGCACGCCCGACCTGTAGCCAGTTAGCTTCAATACCGCAGGAACACTGCACTGATTGAATGCTGTGAGTTCGGACGCCATTATGCTTACTTACTTCTCGCTTGCTGCCTGAAACTTGTTGGATGCTGCGGCTGGCAAGCTCAGCTCTACTTGTAAATTGTGCCTTAATCGTGGGCAAGACCTTGAGTCAGATACTACATGTAGGATCATAAGTCTCAACGGCGTTTGCATCAAAGCACTGACTCAAGTCCAAAGGAGATTTGCGATGGCCACCATGTCACGCAGCCATACCATTCCCAGCCAGCCCCTCTCAGTCGCAATTGGCCTAATTGGTCCTGGTGTAATTGGAAGCGCTCTAATTCGCCAGATCGCAAAGCAGGTATTTGGAACTCTTAGCTACATCTGCGTCAGCTCTTCTCGCCGTACACGGAGAGCTTACCTGAACTGGTGATGGTTTGCTTCTAGCTTATCAATGAAAGTTTCAGTCTCCCTCGACGCACGATAGCACGGCAATGGGAGCCCCGGGTCTGAGGGATGCAAAATGGACAAACGGCTAGTACCCTCAGAAACCCTTGGCATCACTCCCCTTTCCTTCTCTTTCCCTTCATCCCTGCCCTCGTCCCTCTTTTCCCAGCCTCTCTCCTCTCCATCTCCTTTTCTTTCCCTCCTTCTCCCCTTCGTCCCCCTCCTTTTTCATGTGTGGATTCCCCTTCCCCCTGCTCCTCTTATTTTCTGGTCCGTCTCATCAAAGGCGCACAAGCTGCTCGGGACGCTACACGCCAGCAGGTTCGCGGTGGTGGGCTTAGCAAACAGTCGTCAAATGTTGCTGCGCCCCGAGGGAATCGAACTGGGCTCCTGGGAGACGGACCTAACGCAACAGGTAAAATCTACGTGGAAGTGGGAATCACCCAATATGTCATATCCTTCCCTGAAGAATGAACCCCGCACAACTTCAGCGCAGAATAACTTGATGCGAAATGTAAGCAGTACAGCCTCTTATGGAAAAAAGGAGCGTGAAAGTTTAGCAAACGCGCACGGGTGCTGATTCTCTTTCTGAGGTTCATACGGCCTTGAGAAATCCAATTCCTGGATTCACTTAATCCACTGGATCCGATTTCCTCTTGAGAGGGTCATGTGTCGTACTGCGCCGTCATTCTCATTGTCTTCTCATTGTATCAAATCATTCGTACTTGCAAAAGGGGGGAGAGGGGAAATGTTAAGTCCAGGGCTTTTCCGATCCGACTCCTTTCCCAGCAGAATTACCCAGCAGAAGCCCTCCCTCAAGGGACCCACCGAAACCTAACGAGCAATTGATCCAAACACTAATTTGGTCCTAACAAAGGATACAAACCTGCAACTGACGCACTTTGCTTTACTTGCATATAATCCGTCCCCGCGCCCCCTTTCGGCTTTGTGCTTGCGAGGTAAGGAATATGTATATTCCTATATGTATTCGTATTATTTATTGCGGTATATGTATTGCGGTATATGTATTGCGGTATATGTATTGCGGTATATGTATTGCGGTATATGTATATTCCTCGTAGTATTATTTATTGCCATGTGGTGTCATCTTCGCCAGGTCCGGTTCCCGGTGTGAGGCTAATCAATGCAGAGGGGATTTCAGCTGCCCCGCCCCCCATCCCGCACATACCCCCGGGTTTTTCCCCCTCCCCGCCCACCCAAACCCTGCCACTACCGACCCAACGGGGACGGCGCTGGCGGCAAAAGGGGGAGCCCCTGGACTTACCTCGCTTCGCCGCCGCCGTCACTTCCGCTGCTGTTGGCGCATCCGCTACCTCCGCCAACACAGACCCAACCGCACCCGGTCCAGCCTGTGCCGTACTTATCGACTGTACGGCTTCTAATGTCGTATCGGCCGCTTATTTGGACTTTATGCGGGCGGGGCTGCACATCGTCACTCCCAATAAGAAGTGCGGGGCGGGTGAGAGTGGGTGAGGGGGGGAAACTAACGAGGCCGAATGCGTGTGTGCGTGCGAGGTTTGTGTTTGGGTGTGTACGGTGTGTAACAGTTGGGTACGGCAGATGGTCACGGTTTTGGGGTGCAGAAGGGGGTGGGGAAAAAGGGGAGGGGGGTTGATGGCAATGGATAAGGGGTGGATGGGTATTATCGTACAACCAGCACAACCACCACCGCCACCATCAACCCATTCTCCGCCTCCTCTCCCACTCCCCTTACCCCATCCCATCCCACTCCGTTGTGGATTTCATTTCATAAGGCCCTTTGGCTCAGTACCGGGAGCTCCGGGACCTGGCGGAGAGCCGCCGCCGCCGGTTCATGTACGAGGTAGGTTGTTCTTTTGGCGGAGGGGAGTTTCAGTTGGGATTTAGGGCAGCTGGTGGTTAGGTGGGAAGCGGTTTGGGGTGGTGCGTTGGGTTTAGCGGGTTTAGTAAGGCGGGTGTGTGAGGGGTGATGATGGTGGCGGGAGAGACCAGATGGGTCATGCGTGTGTGTGGGGGGTCCCGTAGCGGGGGAGGGGATTGAAGGGTGATGCAAGGCAATACCCATCAGCAGGCTTGCGTACGTGTATATGTATGTATACAACGTCTGTATGCTAACGTTCCTGTCCTTGTCCTGCAGGGGTTCTATAGAACTAGCATACTGAGCATAAAAATGAGTCGAATCAGGAACTAAATCTTTAATTACACTCACACGAGGAAGAGGACATATTTTAATGTCACCTGAAATTTCGTCTATAGCCTCAGTACAAGCAAGAGTATTAGTCCATCTATATTCATCGCGCAACTGCCAAATAAATAAATAAACAATGTTATATATATAAAATATTGCTTTTATTGGTAATTATTCTGAAGAACTGTTCAACGCCAATTATGATGAAATTGTACGACATGTGTACGGTATGCAGGCGACTGTGGGCGCGGGCCTGCCCATCATCTCCACGCTGCAAGGGTTGTTGGAAACCGGCGACCGGGTTATTCGAATTGAGGGTATTTTGTCGGGAACGCTGTCGTACATCTTTAACACGTACAAGTAAGACCGTTGTGGTGTCTGCTGCAGTGTGTGCGGTGAGGTGGTGGTGCGATATGCGAGATACCAAATGTCCACATTAGGCAACAAACAGCGGGGCCGCACATGGAAATTCCGTTACCATACATACATAAATAAATACATACATAAATACATACATAAATACATACATAAATACATACATAAATACATACATAAATACATACATAAATACATACATAAATACATACCCACGGGGCCTCTCCGTCGTTGCTCGTACAATCCGGCGTGTGTGTGGTGTGTGTTTATTAAGTGTGTGCGTTCTTCGTTTCCCTCCTAACTGACAATAACACAAAAACACAATCAACACACACACACGCACACACATGCACTGCAAATCCTCCCTTTGTTAGGCCCGGAATGAAGTTCAGCGATGTGGTGTACGACGCCAAAACCCGGGGTTACACGGAGCCCGACCCACGGGACGATCTGTCTGGTAAGACTGAGGTGAAAATTGGGAACGGAGATCGGGGGGGAAGGGGATAAGGAGGGGAGAGGAGGAGGGGGGTCATTGGCAAATTAAAAATGCACATCGAGAAAATGCTGGCGGCCGCAAAGTGAGGACTGCAATCTGTACTTGCTACTATAGCCTTTCCACCCAAACTGGATGCCGGAGGAACCGTTGACTGTCCTTCCGTGTTTGGGGTTTCGGGCTCTTCCAGTCGTACAATTGCTTCTACGTGCTTATCGATGCCCGTCCATCGAAGCCATCCATTACCCACACTCCCACACACCGGCCACTCCTTTTTCCACCCCCGTCAGTTTCCCCCCTCTCCCCTCGCTGGTGGCCTTTCGCCCCTAAACCTCCCCTCCCCTTCCACAAAACACATACATACATACAACACACTAAGACACACCAACACACACTAAGACACACCAACACACACTAAGACACACCAACACACACTAAGACACACCAACACACACTAAGACACACCAACACACACTAAGACACACCAACACACACTAAGACACACCAACACACACTAGCACGCATACACTAACACACACACGCACACATACCCGGCCAGGTCTGGATGTCGCTCGCAAGGTGGTTATTCTGGCTCGCGAGTGCGGATGTGAAGTGGAGCTGGGGGACTTGGAAGTGGAGAGTTTGGTTCCGGAGCCGCTCCGGGGGCCGACAGTACGGGTGGAGGAGTATTTGAAGCAGCTGCCACTGGTGAGGAACCCCCCAAGTGCCGCGGACCGAGAGGGGGAAAGCGATGAAGAGGTTTTAACTATTTTCCCTTGGCTTTTGCGTGCATTGTGCTTTTACCTGTGCTAAACTTCCGCGCTTTTTATTAAGGAAAAAATTCTAGAATGCATATTTTTCTACAGCAAACTTATTGAGATTTGGAATTTTCCTAAAAACATTCTCCACAGTCTGGATTTTGCAAGTCTCTTGAGATACTAAACATCCTTCCTGGACCTTCGTGGGTTTTCGTTTAATGCGATTATTATTGCAGTACGACGACGCGATGGCATCTCGGTCTTCGGAGGCTGCTGCCAGTGGTGGTGTGATCCGTTATGTGGGTTGTGTGGATGTGGAGACTGGCAGCGCGGGAGTGACGTTGAAAACGTGAGTGGCCCCGTCTGGGAGAGGGAGCCTGGGGGGGAGGGGGAGGGGAGTATGCCAGGAAGGTGTGGGGGACTTGGGCTAGGGGGGGAGGGGGTAACAGCGGAAGTGGAAGAGGGGGTAACAGGGTTGGAAGTAGCGGTTGGGAAACACCGAGGTTGGCGTTTAGAGGCGAGCGACGGGCGTTACGGGCTTTTTAAAATAAATAATGAAAAAACTAAAATTTCAGCGCAAAGAACTAAGTAACTAACAAGGAAGAAAGGGAATGCATGCGTGCCGTACAGTACGATATATTGCATTTTAGAGGAGTATCCTAGGGAGATGGTTACAAGGGATGGATACAAGATAAATACTCCCGTACATGGCACATAGGGAAGTACGGATAAAAGGGCGTCAAAGCCTAAAATCATCGCTCAATTGGATGCACTCAGTGGAGACCGCTATCTCTGTATGTATGTATGTGGAGTTATCGGAAAAATATACGAAAAATTAAATACGAAGTATGTGTGGAGATAGCCATTGAAATCAATACTCGTCCACCAACTGTCCAACTGCCCTGACGAGCTGCGTGCACAGTTCTTCCGTACCTTTCTTCCTGCTGGTCACCCGTACAACACCGTA